ATGTTAAAATATTAGCCTATTGCCTGGATGTAGGTAAAAGGGTCACTAGACGCTACTATGAGTGTGGTTTTTGTTTGACTCCATCATTGGGATATATGCTCTTAGAGCATGAAATTTGTCTCATTCAGAACTGTTTCCCCAGTTCCTAGAAAAGCTTGGCTTTTGATCAGTACTTGTTTTGAATGAATGTATGATCCAAGTATAACTACATAATATGCTGATTTCATAAATCAAATATAAAAATGACTCATTATACCATACATAATTTCTTTCTACATATAGAACCAACAAACAAGAATAATGCCCCCAGATTCTCACATAATTTATGTTTTCATTTGTGAATTATGTGGCATGACAAGTAGACCAAGAACAGGTTTAATTCCAGTGAGAGGCAAATTTGAAGAGTCTGCAAGTTTTTCACCTGAGTGTACCATATATGGTTTCAAAAAACCAATTAAAGACTTCAAATTTTCTATAGACATTTTTAATTATTTGAAACAATTATTCAGTCAGAATTGCAGTTACTGGGGTCTAAAAGAGCCATTCAATAAAAATAAAGTTCATAATGAACTGTCATAGTAGGATGTTCATCTTTTATTCATTGAAGAATTTTTGAGAGCTCTACCGTGATGTTCAGTCACCAGTGGTATGCATGCACAACACCTCAAGTCCAAGACTGGGACAAATGCAGCCACAGCATAAAGCAAAGGTTATTATGATTAGTTTACTTGGGGTTCACACCCACGTTACCTGTTCCATCAGCATGACCCTCAACAAGAGAGACCATGATGACATTGTCAGCAGAACACACTGGTAACAATTGTGCAACCACAGGTTACAGCAGAAATGGAGGCATTGAAAACTCCACAGCTTGACTCAAGTCACAGAGCACAGATTGTCACTTCTCCAGATTCTCAGTTTTGCACATGGTCAAAAAGCTCTCATAGAGCAAAACATAAAAATATCCAGTTTTTAGTCCATTAGTGATATACCACAAATTAAACAAATTTTAGATGTAACAGAACTATATAACATGAGCCCTACATGTGAGGATTTATCCCACTTGAATGTAAACTGAACTCCACCACATTACTTTAACATATGACAATAACAGCAAATATGTGTTTACTATGTGTCAGGCACTGTTTTAATCATCAGATATGTGTTAACTCATTTAATCCTCATAAGAACCCTAGGAGTAGATGTCATTATCCTTCTCTGAGAGAGGAAACTGAAGCAGAGAGGTCACACGGTAGATGGTGTGCAAAGATTTGGACCTGGGAAATCTGGCATCTGAGGCTATATTCTGAGTTAAATGTCTACTCTAATAAATATTAAACATATATACTAAAAAGTAAATGTGTTGATTGCTGAACTATACAAATGTAGTTTAGTACTATTTTCTGTATTTCCCAACATTTCCTCATTAACAATAACCAGTACCTTTTAAAACAAACACACACACACACACACACACACACACCCCACCACCACCACCACCACCAAGTTCTCTTTATGAGAACATATCTTTTAAGTATTCAGTAAGCATTACATGACTCCATTGTCTAAAAAAGTTCTGCCTACTCTTTTCTAATTGGGTCAATTTCATTTAGCTTTGAAATCTGCATTGGGGTATTATAATAACTCACTTGAAGAAATTTTAAAAAAACCTTAATACACTTAAGAATTTCTTTGTAAAACTCAACTATTTGCTCATGCATTATAATTTTAAGGTGTAATTCCAAGTAACTTAGGAATAAAATATTACTTTAAAATGCTAATGTGGAGAAGTTAGGGGAAAATCAGTATGTATTAACTTATAGTTTTATTATTGATATAAAAGAAAACTTCAAATTCTGTACAATGAGGTGTGCTGTAGAACACTATATACTGTTATAATACACTATTACCAAATATTCATTACTCAAATGTAATGTATACAGCAATCACAAAATCAGAAATAGGTAACAGCTAGTGCCTTAAGCATAATATAACATCTAGACTATTTTACTGAGCAGTTAAAGCACTTGCTATTTTTTCCTAAATATTTACATGAGTACTGCTTATTTATAAATATTCTAAATAGCATTTCCCTCTAAAAAGAAAGACTCTCCAGTTCTTAACACTAATTCTTTAAAGTAAAATGAACCTGAAAATACTGATAGCCTTTTCAGTCTTTTATTGTTCTACCACAGGCATAAAGGCTCAGGAAGGGATTTCTGCAATCCAAAAAAAAAGTATGCAATACTTTAAAATTTAAAATACTAAGTAATTGATACTCACAAGCAGGTAATATCAACTATAACTTTTTTCTTTACTAGTTTTCCTTTTCTTTTACAAGATAATAATCATTGTATTAATATTATACTACAAAAGCATGTAGACTTCATAATTAAAAAATTTAAATGTCAGATATACAATGGCATTTTCTTCAATAATTCACAATTTTTTAAAACAATTTCTGCTATTTTGGAACAAATGTTAAAATTCCCACGATTTAAGTATCATTAATTAAATTGAATTGAAACACTTAGCATCCCAAAGAATTATCAAGAATGGTAGAACTTGCAATTAACACTGGTGATGATTCTTCCCTGTTATTTTAATCCTTCAATATATATTTTACTATGGTATGTTTTCATGAGTAATTCTGGTTTGAAAAATTATTGTGAATAGTCTCAAGGTTGTGCAATTTTGTTAAATTATGATAACCTTAAAAAATAGAACATGTGTACCCAACTTACTTAGTATCTACGACTATTATAAAAGGTCATTTTAAATTCATATTGAGTGGAATTTAAAGCAGTTTGCAAAGGCTTTTTTCTTTTATGAAAATCTTAAGATGGAAATCTTGCTTTGAGAACCATGAAACTCTCAAAATCTGCCCTGCAATATTTTAAGTACAGGCTAATTAAAATTACTGTTAAAAAATGAGAACAAAACTGTATTCACAATCTGAAATAAACTTTTATGATATTATTTCTACATTGACCAGTGAAAGAGAATTGATGATACAAGTTACAGGTTTATACCTAAAGGGTAGTTATTAGCGAGGTCTAAATATTTAGAGATATGTTCACTAGGAGTATTAGTAGGTAACTACATAAAATGATACTGTTATAAATTTTGCATCTAGTAGCTAACATGTGATAATCAGTGTAATTCTCAAAAATCTATTAGTAGTAGTATGTGAGTTGCTAGCAAGTCATCTTCCCTGAGGTAAGAGGCCATATGCAAAAGATACTGCTCTCTCCAATGAATTTGATACTTAAATAAAGGCAAATTAGGACCTGTGGCTGAAACAGCTGTATTTCAGATTGAGATCTTAATTGCAAGAAGTAGGCTTGATTGTAAAAATCAAACTAAAACTCATGGGAAAATATAAAGCAAATTTCAGTCAATAGCATTTGCTAAATTTCTCTGACATCCTAAAATTTTCTAATAAAATACCTGAAACAGGGAGTAGGTGTAGCTTAGTGGTAAAATGCTTACCTAGCATATGTGAGGCTCTGGTTTCAATCTTCACTATAGAAAAAAATAAAATATAAAAATACCTGCAACAGCCGAGTACTGTGGTACATGCATGTATTCCCAGCTACCTGGAAGGCTGAGGCAGGTTGATTCCAAGTTCAAAATCAGCCTGGGCAACTTAGCAAAAGTCTGTCTCAAAAAACACAAAACAAACAAAAAGAAGGAGGGGAGTAGCTGGGGATGTAGCTCAGTGACAGAGCACTTGCTTAGCATGGGAAAGGCCCTGGTCCAATCCCCAGAACTACCAAAAAAAAAAAAAAATTTTTTTAAAAAACCCTGGTAAAGAATGGGCCATGTTTGTTCTTTAGTTCCTTGGAGGTAATTACATTCTATCTCATATTTGGCAGTGTCTTGTTTCTTGAATTTTAATCATTTTCTCATTACCAATATTCTAAACTTAGATCACCTTCATCCCTACCTGGACTTTGGTTTATCACCTCAAACTTGGTATGATTAACTATACAATGGATTACTGAAGAAAAAAAATTCCAATATTATTTCAATGTTCATTGAAACATTGCAAATATAACTAAATTATTGGACTGAATTGATTATAATGTGACATCTAGAACTAAAAAATATTTTAGTTGATTTGAAATCTCTAGCTTGGACTCAAAAGATTCAGCAATATCACAACTGGTAGTACTGAAATGTAATCATGGGCTGGGGATATAGCTCAGCTGGTAGAATGCTTGTCTTGCATACCCAAGGCCCTGGGTTCAATCCCCAGCACCACAAAAGAAAGAAAGAAAAAAAAAGTTATCACTCTTCAGTCATATGAGCAAATTTAAGAGTGATTTAAAAACTTAAACCCTGTTCTTGAAATTGTGAGGACGATACTTGGTCCACTTATTAAAAACCATTCATTAACCCTGCTCAAATATTCAGCTGATTTAAAGTAATTTCAAGAACTCTGATCAGTTCTCAGAACCAAGCCTTTTATTCCTTATCAAGGGAGAACCAAAATTGCTACTAATCATACCTAACTAGCTTCCTAAAAGCATTGCTGTTGCTAGAGAAAATAGAATATTATCAGAGATTAAGTACATCTTCTAATGTTCACATGGTGTTATTTTACACTAAATATATAATAGGAGATAAAATTGTTTGATATTTTTACTTTAATGCTTTGAGATTCTATTTGGCAGTTATTAATTAAATATACCAAGCCACCAATGAAGAAAATATTTGTTATGGAAAGGTGATTATATAATTTACTTGGAAGCAGCACATTTTTTGCTCAGTTTTCCTATACTTAAATCCAAAAGGAAAAAAAAGGGGGGGGGGATGTATGTTTCAATGGCTGAAAAGCCAAATATAATTATAGTGGTTAGTGATTTGACATTTGTAATTTTTAGTTAATACAAAATCTGGCTATGCTAAGTGTTAAATATTATTTTGTGGCTCTCTTACTTTATGAAGAACTAGTATACAAAAGTTCTAAATTTTCCTGCTATTTTGATGTATAGAGAAAGTAAATTTAGAAATGAAAGAATGGAGATAAAATATTACAAAGAAAAACAGTGATGTTGTGATTAAAAACTAACCCAAATATATATATCTTGCTCAGATACACTTGTAAATTTACATGTCTAGACTCTCCTTTCTTTCCTAATTCAAAATGGATAGTAACTTTAATATGTGGATTCAGTTAGAGATACTTTCATAGAAAGAAGACTAAAACCTCTCTTATCTGGAAAAACAAGAATGTACTGTCTATATCCCTTATGAATCAGCAGACTGAAAATTTTATACATCTGATAATATACTTTCTGATGTACATTTTCTTAGAATTACAAATAGTTCTGCATCTGTTACATGTTCAAACAGAGACAGCCAGGCTTTGATGCTCTAAGAGATTGTATTAACATACATTTTGTCTTTCATCCATTCAAATTCAACTTAATTTCAGTGAACAGAGGAAGATGAATTGAAATGTACATTTCAGAATACAGATTTGCAGAACAGGATAATATAGTGCAATACCAATCTCAGGATAACACTCTTTGTTTTAAGGAATAAGCATGAAAGCTGCTTCTTTAGGAAACTGGCACTAAAGATTTAATGAACACACTATTTAAGCAAATGCTCAGTTGATCATCAGGGTATGTTGAGGTAAAATTTGCATCCAAACCAAACTGAAGCCAACAAATAAAGAAAATCTTATGGACTCTAAGAAAAAAAAGGAAACATTTTTGGTTCAAAGGGGATACTTAGTATATACAGGCTTACATACCATTGATCAAAATTGTAGAACAATGTAACTCATTCATAAAGATAAATTCTTATTTATAAATTCTCTGTGAGTCTGACATACTCTGAAAATTAGAAATTAACTACTGCTACCATTATTTTTAAATTTTCTAACACAATTTGCAATCAACTTTTCTGCAAGAGTTAAAAAAAAAATAATTAGGTGACATTTGACCAGCCAGGATTCAAAAAATAATGGTAACATATTATCAACAGAGCACACAGTTGGCTGTGCTGGCTCAGACAGCAACTAACTGAATCACATTGACTTTATCATTCTATGACAGATATTTTCCTCCAACTTTGTTCAAATCAGCAAAATGTTGTGTTACACTCCATTCTCAAGATATTTTTCTAAGAATAGTTATCTCTATGAATGTGTTGACGTTCATGAAAATGTCAGAATACCACTGTCTAATAAATCATTTTATGAATTTTAAGATACAATTTAGTTCAGATAACCTTCAAATTTACACAAATCTTTTGACACTTTAATATTAGGATGCTTCTCTTGATGGCATCAACATTGGCAAAATCTGATTTCCTCCTCAGTTTTGGTCTTTTTAGAAATCAAACATATTTAGCAAGATACTTTCATGTTTGAAACATTAATAAGACTTTCATGGAATTAAAATTACAAAAAACTTCCAATGAACCACATATACGGAAGAAACTCAGCAGATCTAATAACTAGTTTACAGGAATTCAGAGCCAGCCTGGGCAGCAGTATATTAAAAGCTATTGCCAATCACACATTTGCTATCATGCACTGAATAACAAGATATAATCTTTGAATTATATACGTACAAGATTTTTAATGACTAATCAAGTTATGTGGCCCAGCCAACAAATATTACATATTCACAATAAACATTCTGCCTTTATTAGCCTCTAATTAAATCAAGAGTGATCCATTGGCTCAGTTGTGTTAGTCATCTCAGCATCTTGACTATCCATCTCTTCAGGCTCCTCCACGGAACTTCCCTTTTGTGCTTTTGACCTTGTGACAAATGCTGCTCCCAGTGCATCTGCCACACAGCTATCAGTTGTTTCTGTATTCAAATTTTCAGTGCGACCAGTTAAAGAAAAAGATTCAGGCAAGCTAGTTTGAAGACTCCCAGACCTTGCAGAACTCACAACTTCTACTTTTCTTTGAGGAAGATCAGATGGTGACTGCTCTGTACTTTGATCCCGCAAGTGTTTGTCCATTGAAGCCTGAATAGAAGAAACCATTTCCTGCAATTTTTTTCGCTGGGCCTCAACCAAATCAGGATCAAGCTGCCTGCTGTCTCTCATTGTTACTACTCCTGGAGCTATTCGAATAAGCTCACTGTTACTAGGAGCAGCTGTGAACACAGGAGGCTCTGTTTTAGTGGAACTATTACTAAAGTCTGTCCCTATATTATGCTTTCTTACAACTGAAGTTTCCCTAGCTCTTGGGTCAAGATGTGGATTAGTGGATGCAGTTCCTAGAGAATGCCCCTTTCCCTGAAAGGCAGTTACATTATGAAGTTGCTCAGATTTCTTTTTCACTACTCCACCACTACCTAGTTTTAAAAGCCCATGTGAGGGACTTGATTCTCTACTTCTTGTAGTTGCCTCTGCTCGAACCTGACTTACAGCCTCTTTAACTAAATCTTCAACATCAGGACCGATGGGGAAATGTCCTGCAGCATCCACACACAACTCCAGTCTATCTTCAGAAGCATTATAGACAAAAGTTTTGCCAGGTAGATGTGGAAAAGTACAATGCTTGCCATCAGCCATACCTAAAGAAGGGGAAAAGATATTTAACATATTAAAATTATTAGCAAAAGCATTAAGACAATTATGGTTAAAGTAGTGAAATTTCAATAACAATGTACAGGTAATAGTTTCAAAACAAGATGTATTAGAAAATAATTTATTCTATTACAAAAAAGTATATCACCATAGATCTTTTTTTAAAATATTTTTAAATTATACATGGACACAATATCTTTATTTTGTTTATTTTTATGTGGTGCTGAGGATTGAACCCAGTGCCTCACATTTGTGAGGCAAGTGCTCTGCTACTGAGTCACAACCCCAGCCCTTACCAGAGATCTTAAAGTAGTTCTCCCAAGGGATGTTTAAAAAAAAAAAATCATTATCTTATTAACAAAGTTAGGGAAAAGGCTCGAATCAAACAGCTAAGCTTATAAGGAAAATACAATGTAAAAAAATAATAAAAATATTTTTAATTACTCACATTTCAAATTATAATTTCAAATAAACATTTATTTCAATGGTAGGCAAAATATTAATAAAAATCCAAGTAGACTTTTCTCTTGACACACTTTCAACAGAAACAACTGACAAAAAACAAACAACTTGCAAAAATTAAAATCATGGGCAGTGTAGCTCAGTGGCAAAGTACATTCCTAGGATGGTGGGACTGTGGGTTTCATCCCAGAATGGCAAAAAAAAAGTAGAAATAATAATAGTCAAATATGTGTTCCAAATAGTACTTTTCTGGGCACATTCTGGATTCAGTTTACTATCTTCCGATGCCCTACCCTAAATATCTATTAAACTATGGATCCAGACACAAGGTGGCAAAGAGACCTTTGTAATTCCGGGAAGCTTTTTAATATCCACTTCAATGGATAATACCTATTGAGCCTCACTATGTTCCAGGAACTAAACCAGACTGTGAGGATTAAAAAATAAAATACTGTTAATTCTTTGAAGACAGACAATATAAATAGATTATTAGAATACAACCAGTTAAGTTCAGTGATGGGTATTCCATCTCCTCTCTCCTAATTATTTGAGGATTAAATAAGAAAGTATAGAAAGCACATACCTATAGTGCCTTATGTAAGTCAGGGAGTCAAAACATTTAATTCTTCTATTACATCAAAAAAGGTTTTATAATAGTTTCCAGGCTGCTGCCATGATGCTTACCCTTGAAAGAGTTATGGTATCATACCATTCATCAATATAATTTACAATGAAATACAGGGAAACAATCTAACATTTCAACAAGAGAATGATTAAGTAAATTATGACGTATCTATTCAATATGCAGTAATATGCAGCTATTAAAGTTTATATAAACAAGAAAGTTATGATGCCTGTTGTATGCAGTAAAACAGAAATGAGCAAAGTGTTATTAGTAAGTGCTGTAGAAATTAAGAAGGAAACAATGAATGAATTCTGAAATGCTTTGTGGGAATTTAGGCAACTTCAATTTTATAAGATATTACAAATGGCTCCTCTCTCCCTGCAGAAAGTTAAGAGTGGTTCCAAAGTACCTCTTTGAAACTATTTCAAATAATCAGAGAAAAGAATTAATTTTCAAATAAATTGTTTAGGTTTTAAATAACTTACATAGTCCTTTGAATTCTAAGAATCAACTGCATTAAAATTTCTGTACTACATATCAATTCTATTACTCAAATATGCCAAAGACAACTTACACTAGTATTTATGGCTACACTGGTACCTTATATAAAAAAACTGGAAACCATCCAAAAGTCCATCAGCAGAACAATGGATGAATTGTGTTAAAATAATACAACAGAATATTATGCAACAGTGAAAATGAATGAACTACAGTTGAACTCATCAACATGGATGAATCTGAAAAAGTGCTGTACAAAAGAAGCAAGTCACAGAAGAAGGTATATAATTTCATTGTTTATAAAGTTTAAACATAAGCAAAGTTGAATATTACATAAAGAATACATACACCAGGGTTAAAACTAAATTTGCCACTCATCTCTGCATTTACCCCTGTACCAAGACCTGCAAGGAAACTACCACATTTTAAGCCAATTAATTTAAAAATACCTTTCCAAATATAAAGAACGGGAATAATAATAGTTCAGTGTTGTTAAGTTGGGCAATATTTGTACTCAAGTGTACAAATCATTATCTATCTGTTAGGGTGGATTTGAATGAAGAGAGGTATGTTCTTTGCCTATTTTGGAGAATAGAGGTATGGTACGCTTGGGGGTGAGGAAGGCTTGATATGCTTTCTTGTGTGTGTGTGTGTGTGTGTGTGTGTGTGTGGTGCTGGGGGTGGAACCCAGGGCCTCATATATGCAAGGCAAGCACTCTACCAATTGAGCTATATCCCTAGTCCTGCTTTGATTCTTTGACCAAAAGATAATAATAAATTTCCCACCTGAATCTATCATTTGAAAAAGAGAAAATTTTACCACTAATACTAGGAGAAAGTATTTTGGGAGATAAAATAACTTTATGATGATGATCCATTTCAAATGTCTATGTTAGCCAGGCATAGTGGCAATGGCCTGCAGTCCCAAATACTCACGAGATTGAAGAGGGAAGATCACTTGAGCTCACAAATTTAATACCAGCCTGGGCAACATATGAAGACTGTCTCAAAAAACAAAACAAATGAACAAAAAATGACTCTGTTACAGTCAAGATGACTCTGTTACAGTCATGAGGAACTTTATGGGCTGGGGATGTAGTTCCGTGTTAAACCATATGCTTAGCATGTATGAGGCCCTGGGTTTAATTCCCAACACTACACACACACACACACACACACACACACACACACACTTCCAACACTACACATATACACACACACAAAGTTTAATTCTGTAATAACAACTGGATTAATCATAATCATAACAGCAAACATTTCCTTAGTGTTTACTAGGTACTAGGCCCTTTGTTAACCACTTTATAAATATGATCTCACTTGATCCTTACAACCCTGACATTATTATCATATCCCCTTTACAAATAAAGAAACTGAGATTGAAAAATCACAAAGAAGGTGACAGAATTTGGATCCAGATATTCTGACTCCAGAGTTCTAAATTAACTCTTAATAAGGTTAACAGTATACACAAACTTTTTAAAACAACAACTCTACTAAGGTAAATTCATCTACAATTCACCCATTGTAAGTTTAAAACTAAACGGTTTTTAGTATATTGAGTTGTATGACCATCACTACATTTTTAGAACTTTTCCATCACCCCAAAAAGAAGCCTTAGCAGTGACTCTTGATTTCCTCTCACCTCTTCATCATCCTCAGCCCTAAGTGAACACTGGTTTATAGTCCTTCTAAGTATGCCTATTCTTAGTGCTCTGCTACTAAGTGCAGTGAAATTTCAATAACAATGTACAGGTAATAGTTTCAATTCTGTACATTTCATTGTATGGTCTTTTGTGACTGGCTTCATTCATATAGCATAATGTCTTCACAAACTATATAATACGTACCAATACTTCATTCCTTTTTTCTTTTTTTTAGTTGTGGTTGGACACAACACCTTTATTTTATTTATATGTTTTTTTGGTGCTGAGGATCAAACCCAGGACCTTGAATGTACTAGGTGAGTACTCTACCACTGAGCCACAACTCCAGCCCCCACTTCATTCCTTTTTATTGATAGATAATATTCTGTTGTAAGCATACACCATGTTTTGTCATCAAAACTCACAGACATTTGCATTGTTTTCACTTTGGGATATTATGAATAATGCTACCAGGTTTTACGTGGACATATGCTTTCATTTCTTGTGGATAAACACTGAAGAACGTAATTGCTTTGTCATATAGAAACTCTGTTGAATCTTTTAAGGAACTGTTATACTGTTTTCCCAAGTGGCTGTGCCATCTTACAACTCTACCAGCAGTGTATGAAGATTTCATTTTCTCTGCATCCTTGTCAGTAGTTCTCATTATATGACTTTTTTTTATTATAGTCATGCTAGTGGTTTTGGGTTTTGTTTTCCTGATAAATTAATGCCTTTTCGTGTGCTGTTAGCCGTTTACATATTTTCTTTGGAGAGATGTCTATTTAGATCCTTTGTTCATTTTTTTAGGTCCTGAATAATATGGTTATGTCTTTTTTTGCTGAGCTATAGAGTTCTTTATATTCTAGACACAAGTCCATTATCAGATACATGGTTTGGAAAATTTTTCTTCCATTCTCTGGATTGTCTTTATGTTTCCTTGATGATATCCTCTGCAAATACAAATTTGCTTTTTAGCTATCTACTTTTTGCTTTTGTCACTTATATTTTCAGTGTTGGCATATCTAAGAAAGTTTTGCCTAATCTGGGAGGTAAAGAAATTTTACACCTATGTTTTCTTCGAAGAGTTTTCTAGTTATAGCTCTCACACTTAGGTCTTTGATCCATTTTTTGAGTTAATTTTGTATATGGTGTAAGGTAGAGGTAAAATTTCATTCTTTTGCACACAGATGTCTAGCTGTCTTGGCATCATTTGTTGAAAAAGTTATTCTTACCCTAGTGGATGATCTCAACATCACAGCTAACATTTTAAAGCTAATTTCAAACTAAATATATAAAACTATTTAGAAAACAATCAAAATAGTTACCCAGCTCCAACCCCCTCCCACATACAAAAAACTGAGGGAAACTGTTTTCAGTTGCATAAGCTTCCTATAAACAATTCTAATCAAAAACTAACTTGTAGAAAACTACTAATTGGTATCAACAAATTTCAGCAGAATCATGTGAAAGATAAAAGGGTAAAAAAGAATGCAAAAAAAGTGATGCTTATACTAGAAAATAAAATTTACAATCAATAACCTAAACTTCTATTTAAAGAACCTGAATGGGGAAAAACAGGGAAGAAAAAATAAAAACAAAAGCAGAAATCAATAAAACTGAAATCAGAAAAAAAAACCCCTATGAATACAAAAGTCAATTCTTTGAAAAGATCAATAGAATTGATAAAACATTAAGCCAAGTTAAAAAAAAAAAAAGAGGCATAAATTGCCACATGAGA